GCACTAACACAAGGCTTTGCTGGTGCTTATTATGAAGACCACATTCAACCGGTGACTGACAGCTATGTTGAATGGGCCTCTGATGTCAAAAGCTCAGTGTGGGAGAGGATTCAGACTACCATCGGCCACTACACACCGTTTAACACAACTCAAGTTGATTAACTCACTCAACTGAGTAAATCAGTATTCTTACTAAACGTCATGGCTTCACTGCTGAAGTGATCATAATTTAATGTTTATCATTAGGCTTGTACTAATGTATGATGCATAAAAAAATCAAATGAGTTGTTAATAAATATCCGTACAACATATCTGTTTGCCTCTGCTGCAGGTTTTAGAGTTTTTGTATTTGTTTGGTTGTTATTAAACAAAGAGCACACCAACTGAATCCGATTAACCAACATTTTGGTTTTAATCGAAGCTGAAAAGCTTGTCTTCTTGATTACGTGAGTACAAGTCACACACAGGTGCATTAATCGACAAGTAAAACAAATCTCAAGCATTAAATGGATGCATGTGGATATGTGAAAAATAAGGTTCAAAAGAAAAAGAAAACAGTGAGATGAAGATATACAGAGGAGAAACCTTTTTAAAACACTATTGAAAAGAGAACTGATCACATTGCTGGCAGGGTATTAGGGTGAAAGGTGAGGGCAGGATGCCCAGCAGCCATTGCTCAGTACAATGCGTTGGGGCAGGTTCTGAATGTTTGACCTGTTGACCATTTGACACCAATATCTGAGTACACACTATAAAATCTGCTGTTAAAAAAGTGCTGATTATCAAGAGCCGATACAGTTAACATTATCTTTTGTCATAACAGATACAGACACACGAGCTGCTTTAGTTTTTTCTATAAAATGAGGTGTAATTGTTATGACATTCTGCAAACATGCAACTTCCACAGTGCCACAGTGCATCCTGCCATATGGATAAGGATAAACGTACATTTCAGAAAGATTACATAACAAGTAAGCCATATTTCCACATTCTGTATTAGAATGTCACATACACTGGACTTTGTGTAGGTGTATGTGTGTGTGTGTTTTTGTGTGTGTGTGTGTGCGCGTGTGTGTGTATGCTCATCAGATGACGTTTGTTTGCAGTCCCCCCCTATATCTTCCTGTCCAGATGTGCGCTCTGAGTTACAGACAACTCGGTTTGAGAGAAGACTGTCACTTCTCGGATCTGTGCATCCAGCGCAACAGCAGGTAATCCCTTTTTCTTCCTGCAGCTGCCCTTGCAGCTTCTCTTCTGCAACTACAGAGTAGATTTCACTAAAACAGCTTTTCGTGAAATATTTAGGAAATGCAGTTTTGCTTTAAATGTTAGCAATTTAATCACCTTGTTCATGATCTTAAGTTGATAAAATATGAAAACAATTCAATAAGTTGAAATGTGAATTTCATTTGCTTTTTCTTCTTTTGTCTTTCAGAAATGAATGCAAAATATGTTTTTGCACTGATCTTGGTGCTGCAGGGTAAGTCACCCTGTAAACCTTAAATGTTCTGTAACAGTTAAGTTAAATTGAGTTTGATGTGACTGTTTTTAATGATGTTTGATTGGCCCAGTCTAACATGCTTTTATTGCACTCAGGGATTTAATGAACACTGCGTCATGGATGAATATTGCATGTATTTATATGTAGCTGACATGCAACACAAGTGCTTAATTTTATAATATAGTGAGCTGCTGTAGCAGAAAAATTTCAAATGTAAATACTGACCAAGGAACTCTGATACTGAGAGTGAGGTGCCAAGATATGTGGGACAGTTTTTATTTGGCTTTTAAATAAAAATTTACACACTAACCCCCAAACAGTTTTGTGAAATTTCCCAGTGCAACGATTAATCTTTTTTGTTGTCTCTTTTTAACATGTGTATACACCAGTAATTATTGAATTTACTTGCAACTGTTTTAATAGTACTAGTTCTCATCTCTCTCCTAAAAATCTCAACTCTGTTGCCTTCCAGTCTCTATGAGCCTGTGTGCACTTCCCGTACCATCGCCAGAAATGGTTGAGTTATATAACACCCACAAAGCCACATTCATGAAGAGACTGATGAATTTTTACAACAAGGTGCACGCTGCTGCCACTCCCGTTGTGGAGGGCTTACGTGACAATGAGCGTTCACAGGATGTCAGGGAATTTGCTGAAAATCTGCAGAGCAAGCCTGAGTACCAAGCCTTTGTGAAAGTTGCCTCGTAAGTTTTCACCTATAACTATCCTAGTAACGCTTAATGTTTCACAGGCGGCTCCAAAAGAAAATAAACCTTTGTAAGCTGCTAATGTCATTACTTGAAACATAATTTGCTATTAGATGCTACTTAATTAACGTTTAGATTTCACAATTTCAGCACAAACACATACAGACAGTTTTTATGGTTTTGTTGATTTATTTGGTAAATTCTTTAATCATGGATACTTTTAAAATCATCCATTTTTCCTCTTTTCATCAGTGCTATCGGTCAGGAAGCAATTCCCTTAGTGGACAAGGCTCGTACAGCAGCACTGGGTGTCTATGAACACTACCTGCGGCCCCACATTGGCATCACCCTGGGCAGGGGCATTGACCACGCTAAATCAGTCCTGGACGAAGTCCTGCCCGCTGAGTAAAGAAGACCAACTGGAGCAAACTGCCTCTCAGCAGCCCTTGTTAGATGATAGGTCATAGTAACTACACCGGAGAAGAAGAATACAAATACTATTCTTTGCCTCTTTTAAATCAAAATACTTGTCCAATCATGCAGAGTTAAAACCATGAAAAACATGTCAACACCACATATGCAAATTGTGCATGTACAGTATTTTATGTTTGAAACACTAACCAGAGTTTGTGTGTGACTGTGTATGTAATGTGGGCGTGTTCAATAAAATGAAGTGAAAACTCTGTGAAATATGTTTCTTCATATACACTCAGATCCTCTCCTGTTATGATACGAGGAAAAAGTTCTAGGCTTTGATAATTCTGTTATTTCTTAATCTTCTAATGTATCTTTTAAAGTATGTATAGAGTTTTTTCATACATTTCATACTTTTAATTATGAAGAAAACACATTATTTATTACAACATAAATTTAAAAAGAAAACTCAATTAAACACCATGGGTTTATTTTTTACTCACTGTGGTTTTGCAGTGAGCTGTCCCCTTGATAAAACTGGAAATATAATGAAAAGCTGGTGCTTTAAACACAAGCTAATAATATCATTAATACCCTGAAATAAGTCAAACTCTGTCCCCTGAGTAGTGAATTTGTATAATCCCATATGAAAACTTTTTTTAGTGCCAGAAATACTGAAAACACATTATTAATGTGTCTTTTGTATCTTTACATAATTGATTGTTAACCTAAAATTACTAAAGAGAACTGTACAATAATCTCAGACGTTTTTATTTGAATTAACTTTCCATAATTTGAATATTGATACAGGTTTCCTGTTGAATAGCACTTTGCAAGAACATGTGGAATATCTGCCTTATTCTACTCATATGAGCAGCAAACAAATACTCTTCCTGCGTTCACGGCAAGATAGCAGAAATCACTGATTGAATTTATAATGCAATGATACACCAACGTTATTTTCAGCTACAGCAATAACCATGCCGAGATGAGCCATCACAGCGTTTATTCAGTTGGATTGAATCAAAAGTGCAAATTCTCAAACAGTTTGAACCCCACTGCTGCCCACAGCTGCACTCAACTGACCTGAGTTCTTGGGGTCGCACACAACATGACATGTGAGACTGGAACACATGATTGGATTGAATGTTTACTTAGGCCTCCATCAACATGTAGACATCGCAGGAGAAAGCTCTTAACTCCAACAAATAAAAGAGATAAAACAGGTTTTTTTTTGTCACATTAACAATTATTCCCAGCACAAACTGAAATGTTTTTAAACCTGTCCCCTCGTGAATTCTGGCAAATTCTGTCTTCTCCAAAAAGAGATCTAAACATCTCACAAATATTTCCGTAGGTCAGAATTTTATTTGAAATTGTTTCCTCATAAAATTGTTTTTACTCTGGCTAAAAAAAAAAAGGAAAAAAAAAGAAGCATGTGACTGATATTGACAAAGCTGTCTGGACTCTGAATTCTGTTCACCAAATGTTCACCGATGGCAAGCAAGAAACTGTCACTTATTACCCAGAGCCACAATATTTACTTTAATATATAACCACAGCCTCAAGGCTAAAAAGACAGATTTTGTCTCAAGAATGAATATTATAATTATGTTATAATTATTAGGGAAAATGGGAAATAAAGAGCACATGAGAACAAAACAACATAACATGAACAGCCGGCTTTAGACTTGTATTTTCATTTCAAATTGAGAAGAATCAAGATGGGGATTCAATGTTTTCCGCATGTAACTGTGACCAAACTTCTCCTTTCCTGAAGGTTTTTGAAGAGACGAGTGGAAAGAGATTGTTTTTTGTTCTAAAAAAAACCTAAAATAAATAAATAAATAAATTCTTAAGAGTTTTCAATGCAACACCATATATTCATTAATGCGGCCTAACTGTTTCATAACCAGAATCAGTGTGGGTGACGTGTTCAGCACACTTTAGACTTTGGACCATTTTAAAAGGACTTGGGACTGTTGCAGTGTGTCATGAATGACTGAGTCTTGTTATACAAATCTAAAGTGCCTCCTTATGTAGACTGTGAACAGCGCAAGGAGTAACAGTCTGCTGATACTGACCTTATCAATGGAAAAGAATTGACTGGGCCACATTTATTTGTCAGTATTCTTCTACAATGCTGTTTTCAGTCTATACTATGAAAGTCACTCCTAACCACAGCTGTGCTACCACTGTTATAAGTACCTTGTCACGCTTTATTCACTATCCTTGTATTTGCATTATCCCAATATCTGCTTTATCAAGACACAATGATGAACCACTCCAAAAAAACGCACAGCTGACAGCAGTCCAGGTTTATCTCCCACAGAGTGCACTTTGGCTCTGAGAGCAACAAGTCACCACTTTTACACTCCTATATAAACAAGCTGGGCCGGCACTACCTCTTACTTTTTTTCTTTTCACAGTCACTTCTGCAGAGGAATAGAGTGAGTACCAACACTTTTGATTCATTTACTGAGCAGTTTTAAAATAGACGCATGCTGTTTCACTGTATATGAGAAAAAGCCGAAAGATGACCTAACCGTTTGGGAGATTTGGGGAGATCTTCTGTGTTTTAATGTTAGAAGTGGACTAAAACAACATATATGCACAGTTAATATAACAAACACATCGGCTGGATGAGTGGGTAAATCTTGGACAATGTCTCACCCTAGTGGATGGAAAGAAGGAAGCTTCAAATGTTTTTTTTCCTCTACATTCACAGATCCAAGGACCATGAATAAGCTGCTGGTCATCACTGTGCTTGTTGCACTTTTTGCACTCAGTAAGTTTGTCCTCAGAGAGTAAAACCAACAACACAAATATATAATATACCAGGAGGTTTTTATGAATCAGTGATAATAAGACTTTAAGCTTTTCAATCCTAACCTGTTTGTAACATAAGCGAGATCTCTACAGAGTAATAATGAGCACATTCAGTTCAAGAAAATGGATACAAACCAGATGACTAAATGATATGTTTTTGTTTTTCATTTTGGTTAAAACTGAAATTCACATCACATATTCTGATATAGAAAAGCTATTGAATGCATTGACATACCATCTTTAGCAGGAAATGAAGTTTTGTTTTAAGTGAAGACATTAGGGTGAAAGACTTTTCTTCTTCTCTGTCTTTTTTGCCTCTAACTAATGTGGCCTGTTTTTGCATAGGTGCTGAAAGCTTCCGTGTGCCGAGGCAGGTTGATGAGGAAGAGCAAGGGACCATCACAAAAATAACAGATACTGTCAAGTCCTACTATGCAGGTGCGGTCAACACTGCCAGTGATTACCTGGAACAGATCAAAGGCCTGAAGCTGGAGGAGAAGGCAAAGTAAGACATTTTGATATTAAGATGAATTCAAAAAAACTTTCATTTTAATCTATAACTGCTCTCATTCTGTGTTTTTACCACAGGAATCTTTACACTGAAACTTCCAACATTATGAGCACCTATCTTGGCATTGCACAGGACCAGCTTTACCATATTTTTCACCATTAATAGTGAAAAAAAAGTTATCCAATGACCTCCACAACGTTACATGGTTGTGTAAGGACTTTCAACCTACACAAGAAAGGTTCAGAATTCATTTTACATTCTGTCCTTGGCGATACTCTCCCCACACGCAAGTGTCAAACTCTCTAACACAATGGACGAGGTGCATTTTGTAGCACTTTCTCAATCCACTGCATTGGAGGTAAATAATGATAACCACCCAATGGGGACTTTAGCCCTTTGAAAAACAACTAAGAGCTTGGAATGAGAAAATGGACATGAGAATTTGGCAAGCACAAGAAAGGGAGCATTTTAAGATCTGCTACCACCTGCTGATATGCTGATATTTCCTCACAGTACCATGGCATCTCTGAATAAATTTCAGTTTGTTATATCTTGAAATAAAATATTTATACTGAAAAAAACATAAACAGTTGTCTGTGGTTGGTACATGGTATTTTTGTGAAGTGTTTGATGTAGTAAATTCAGCCCATTTTGCCCCCATCTGTTTGTGTAAGATCGGTGTCATCTTTCAACTCAGTGATGCAAAAGGTCGTGATTTTGTCTGAACGAATCTGCAGTGAGACACGAGACTTTTATCGGCTCAGGCAGCACAAGAACAGAGGCTTCTGTTGTAATTAATAATGGATGAAAAGAAACAACATGCAAAATGTGAGCGGCGGGAAATTGACAGAGATGAATAAACAACAAAGACTCTGAAGTTTGTTTTATGGATACTGACAATCAGTGATGCAAGAGCAAGTGATTTTTAATTAATGCACAAATCTGCAACATGCGGCTTCTTCTGAAGCTATTACCAACAGAAACAAACCAAGCAAAAAAAAATCTGCTTTAAAGAATCTTGTCTTGTGTAGTCGTTGCAAAGGATCTAAACTGCATCAGAGAAGCACAGAACAAATTACACATTTGTGTGGGTTTTAAGGACTACAGTGATCCAACACTACCACTCCTGGTTTATCTACAATGACTATAATCACTGGAACAAAAAGAATAGACAAATATTAATATTAAAATAATGGTTTCAGATCCTTGAGTTGCAACTGAACATGCATACAGATCTGTCCAGAGTGGATGAGCTTGAAAGGAGCTGCATTCTGCAGTGTTTTCTCCTCTATTCATTAGTTTTCTTAACCTTCTTGTCCAATTGAGGCTCACATAATGGGAGCAGCCTATCATAGGTGACATAAGGTGAAGGCAGGTGACAGTCTGGACAGGTTGCCAGTCAATTGCAGGGTTATTAACACATAGAGACGAGCAGTGATTCCCAGCAGAATTTACAATCTCCAATTAGCCTAACACACATGTCTCTGGACTGTGCAAGGAAGCTGAAGTACTCAATGAGAATTCATGCAGGCACAGGCAGAACATGCAAACTCCTCACAGAAAGGCCCCGGCTGGCTGGTGGCTTCAAATGCAGGAACTTCAATTCCAGCTTTTATTTGGAAAAAATCTGTTTCCACTTGCTTTAAACATGTATTGATAATTAAAATGCATATCAAATGTTTGTATGTCAAACAAATAAAAAAAAAAGTCAACTGTACCTATTAATTAAACATCAGACAGCTGAATATGGGCAGCACGGTGGCACGGTGGTTAGCACTGTTGCCGCACAGCAAGAAGGTCCTGAGTTTGGAGTTTGGAGTCTTCTCTCACCCCCATTCTCTGCGACCTGCTGGAGCAGGGGGGCTAGGACTAGGAGGAGGAGTTGGCCGTCCGACTGCGGTCTGGAGTGTGGAGCCTTCCTGCTGCTGCGGAGTCGGGGCGGTCTGCCTCCCCCCA